CTCTTCTTCTCTACCTTTGTCTATGGTCAGACTACTGTTCATTGTGTGTGGAAGATGATGCATGACATGTACACATCTGCATAAGATGGTCCCCATGACCCATGCAACAAGTTTTTTCAGTGTTTTTTTTTTTTTCTTTTCCTCATGTCCTGTTTCATTTGTGGTTAAGATTTCAAAAAGGTGTGGGAGTTTCGTTATTAAAAAAAAAACTGATTTTTATGTGCGTTGTATAAGAGGAAGGGGGGGGTGGGTGGGGAACCTGACCTTTTTTTTTTTTTAACCCTGAAAATTTAGGGCTCTCTTAACTGCTTCTCCACAAATCAAGAAACATTGAAGCAAATCAACTAGTTCCCCAATAATGGCCGTACAACTTCTGAGATAGGGTTACAGTCCTCACACTAGGATTTTCCTGGATGCATCTAGTCTCAATTATGTCCAGAGCTCAGTTGAAAAGTCCTTAGGGAAAAGAAAAACAAAGACATTCCCCACTGTGAGTATGCCCCCCCCCTTCATTTCGTTACACACAACTTTCACTTTATCACTTGGTGACAGGCAGGCAGGCAGACAGGCAGACAGGCAGGCACTCAAATTGGAATTTTGGTCTCTTCTGATGAGATGCGTCTGAGGTCCATGACAGGCAGGACGCGAGCTGCTGCAGTGGAACGCGAAGCAGTGTCCGGTTATCAGGAAAAAAGTTGAAAAACTTTAAAACTCTGAGTGAAAAACTGAAAATGTCTATTTTTATCACCATCTTGCAAGTGCGTAACTGTTGCTGAGGCAGTCTTGCCGGACTGTCCCTCTTCTCTTTAACTGTTGAGTTCTTTGTGAGCAATTCATAAAACCCAGAAAAAAGAATGTGGTAAAAAGTTCCGAAAAACGAAACTTGCAGCCGGCGCTAGGAACAGATGAATGAGATGGAATATTTCTTCGATGCAGCAAGCTGCAAAGTCTTAGTCCATGCATATATGAACAGTGAGCACTCACACAGCATAGAGCACTCGATATAGTCCACTTTCATCACTTAAAACGAAACTCGTACTTCGTAAAAAAATAGTCATGCAAAAAGCATAGTGCAGAACCTTTCGGCACTGCACACTGGCGGCCCCCGGCACCGCGTTTCGACCGGTGCCAGTTCCGGTCATCCTCAGGGGGGATGTTTCGAAATAAGAAAGAGACCTTCCATATACTACGACTACCTGTTAATAGTATCCAGATTTTTTCCCGACTTTCCTTAATAGCCTTGATAAGCAGAACAACTTATCTTGCTTCAAAGCTCGTGCTACTACCCAATGGGACAGGCTTCGGACACAGACCTACCTGTCAGTTACTTCTATAAAAAAAAATAATTTGGCTTCCCCCAAGACCGCGTCCAGAGACGTGTCTCGGAAAGCCCTTTCGGCACTATCCTGTATTCTAGAGGGTCCCAGTAGCCTACAGGTTCCGGAGGTACTACCATCTGAACCTAGTCGTATAACACCAAATCTTACATTGCCGTGAAAATCACTCAGGTAAAACATACAGAAGCAAGAAACGTTGTACGGAAGGCCCGATCCGAGTCGTAGTCCGCCTTATCAAACTCCGGAAGCCATCAGAAAAAATCAAAGGGAGCAAAGGGACAAACTGCCGCAAGTAAATCAACAGAGCCAGATCCTTGAAAAAAACAAATTAAAAAAAAAAAACAAAAAAAAACAAAGAAACAACATACAAATACAAAGTAGTCCTTATAACACGTGTTTCAGTGGGAGCGGGTAGCTTGCAATCGACAGTCACTTCCTCAGCTTAGGAGGACTCTCCGAGCAGCTTCAGCCCAGTCTGGGGCACATCTTCAAACAAAACCTTTCAGGTTCCTTGCAGATGAATGGTCTCCGGAGATTCATCATGCTGTTACCATATTCAGGCTATTATTCAGGAAAACGGCACGAGAC